ACCCATGGTTTGAATTGAATAATATACAATATGTTCTGTCAATATAAATGAAGAATCACATATGCTTTTGCAGTTTCCATGGTGCAGCGGTTATCACGTTCGCCTCACACATATGCTTTTGCCTACCTCTTTTGAGTCACATTAAAAATTCATAGCAATTTTCAAAACTATTCTATTTTTTGATGCTCAAACAACACAACTGGTCAGTTGGAACCCTGTAAGCCATCTCCTTTCTCTTTGACACTGCAAACATCTGGGATAGCATCAAGTATCCTTGCTCCCTAGCACCAACAAAGGTGTCCAGGCACATCTTGATTTCCCCGATTCCTTTCTATCAGGGAGAGATATTGAATTGGCTACTCTCTAGGAGGTTTTAGCAGAGATGAATATCAGATTCCTCCACATGACAAAACATGGCAGGTGGGATGACCCATCAACAGGGTATCAAAGATCTAAGTTTTAAAGGTCATGAGTCCAAGACCTTGACATTGGTCTTGGCAATGATTTTTTTAGATTTGACACCAAAGGAAAGACAATAAAAGCAAAAATAAACAAGTGGAACTACATCAAACTAGACAGCTTCTGTAAAGCAAAAGGAACCATCAACAAAATGAAAAGGCAACCTACTGATGGGAGGAGATATTGGCAAATCATACCTGGTAAGGGGTTACTATCCAAAATATACAAAGAATTTACACAATTCAGTAACAACAACAACAAAAAAAACAATTAAAAAATGAGCAGAGGAGGGCGCCTGGGTGGCTCAGATGGTTGGGCGTCTGCCTTCGGCTCAGGTCATGATCCCAGGGTCCTGGGGTCGAGTCCCGCATCGGGCTCCCTGCTCCTTGGGAGCCTGCTTCTCCCTCTGCCTCTCTCTCTCTCTCTCTCTCTGTCTCTCATGAATAAATAAATAAAATCTTTTAAAAAAAATGAGCAAAGGAACTGAATAGATATTTTTCCAAAGAAGACCTACAAATGGCCAATTGAAAAGATGAGATGCTCTACATCACTCATCATCAGGGAAGTGCAAATCAAACCACAATGAGATGTCACTTCACATGTTAGTATGGCTATGAAAAAAAGACAAGAGATAACAAATGTTGGTGAGGCTATGGCAAAAAGGGAACCCTTGTGCACTGGTGAGTTGGTGGGAATGTAAATTGGTGCAGCCCCTATGGAAAACAGAACTACCATATGATCCAGCAATCTCACTTCTGTGTATCTACCCAAAGGAAAAGAGAATATTGAAGAGGTAGCTGCATTCCCATGTTCATTGTAGCATTATTCACAAAAGCCAAGATAGGGAAACATCCTGAGTGTCCATCAACAGATGAATGGATAAAGAAGATATACACAATGGAATATTATTCATCTATGAGAACGAAGGGAATCCTGCTGTTGGTGACAACATGGATGGTCATTGATGGCATGATTCTAAGTGAAATAAACCAGACAGAGAAAGACGTATACTGCATGGTATCATGTATTTGTGGATTTTAAGAAAGGTTACTCATAAAAACAGAGTAGAAAACTGGTTGCCAGGGGCTGGGGGTGAGGGAAATAGCGAAAGGTTAATAAAAAGGTTAATAAAAAGGGTCTTATAGCATTCATTCAGCTATAAGATGAATGAAGGCTGAAGATCTAATGTATAACATGGTGAATAGAGATCATATTGAATAGTTGTATTGTATAATTGAAATTGGGTAAGAGTAGAACTTAAATGTTTTCACCTCTTTCCCCTGCCAAAGAAAATGTTTGAGAGAATCAAATATATTTAATTTGTGATTGTAATTTTATTTTATTTTATTTTTTTAAAAGATTTTATTTATTTGTTTAAGAGAGAATGAGAGAGAGCACATGAGAGGGGGGAGGGTCAGAGGGAGAAGCAGACTCCCTGCCAAGCAGGGAGCCCAATGTGGGACTCGATCCAGGGACTCCAGGATCATGACCTGAGCTGAAGGCAGTCGCTTAACCAACTGAGCCACCCAGGCGCCCTGTGATTGTAATTTTAAATGTTGAATAGGGTTTGTTGGTGTTAAATATTTAGAGAAACTTAAGCTGTTTGATTTATTAGCTAATTTATTAAAAAATAAGATTTGGGGCTTAAAAACTTGTTTCTAACATGTGTACTGTTAAATATTGGGTTATTTAAAACACAAGTTATTGTCTACCCTTTGAGACACAGATCCCCCTCTTTTACATACTAAAAAAAAACAAGTTAACCACACAAAATGCTTGAGAGCATGTGGAGCAACAGGAACCCTCATTCATTGCTGGCAGGAATGCAAAATGGTGGTCTCTTACAAAACAACACTCTTATTGTATGCTCCAGCAATTGTGCTTCTTGGCTTTTACTCAAAGGAATTGGAAACTTATGTCCAACAAAGTCCTAAAGACAGATGTTTAGAACACCTTTATTTATAATTGTCAAAATCTGGAAGCAACCAAGATGTTCTTCAGTAGGCGATGGAAAAAAAATTGTCATACATCCAGACAAAGGAATATTATTTAATGCTAAAAAGAAATGAGCCATCAAATTATGTAAAGACCTGAAAAGATTTAAATGCATATTACTAAGTGAAGGAAGCCAATCTGAAAATGCTACACACTCTATGATTCCAACTATATGGTATTCTGGAAATGGCAAAATTATGGAGACAGTATAAAGACATTATAAAAATCCATAGTTGCCAGGGCTGGATGGGGGAGAGGGATGAATAGATGGACCAAGAGGATTTTTAGGGCAGTGAAACTACTCCATATAATACTATAATGGTAGATACATGTCATACTACATTTATCCAACCCATACAATGTATAGCACCAAGCATGAACACTAATGTAAACCAAACCCTCTGGGTGATAATGATCTATCAATGTAGTTTCATCGGTTTTAACAAATGCACCACTCTAGTTGGGGATGTTGATAATGGAGGATGCTATGTGTGTGTAGGAGGGCAGGGGACAGGAATTATATAGAATGTGTATCTTCTTCTCAATCTTCCTGTGAATTTGAAAATGGTCTTAAAAATCTATTAAAAATAAGTTAGCATATGTTACTGAGATTGTATCTACATGAACACATAAAGGTGCTTCTGAACTAATTACATAGAGGTACGGCAAGTAGCATTTACTTGGGACAATAAGTAGTCAAGGATAAACAATAAACAAAACAGAGAAGAAAAAACAAACGGTTATTTAGCTATATACAACCTGATTATTTATGATGAAATCATTATGTTGGGGAACCAGATCCCTGAGGCTAGATGCTTAACAAGAAAAGGATCTTGTCAATTTTGCCCACTCTTGAGGTTCAGTGTTCCCACTGTGCCTGACCTCTGGTCTGCATTCAGATAATTTTTGTTGAATGAATAAAAGAGGGTTTCAAGGACCAGTTACTTCAAAACTACCCACAGTCCTTTAAAAGCCAGATTCATTGGGTACCTCCTAGGTGGAACTGCGATCCCTGGGAGTATCAGAATCTGCATTCTTCACAGACACACACCAGATGCTTCTTTCACAAGCTACACGCAGCCTGAGGACCACAGAAATTCAATCTTTTCACTTTATCAGAGAGAAAAATGGAGGCTAAATAGTTTGCTCAAGGTCATATGGCTAATGACTGAGCAAAAAGTAGAGCTCAAACTGTCAGGCCATAAAAAGTTCATCAGATTGATTACTTCCTCTAGTTTCAGTGTATGGAAAGGGAAATAATCAAGCTTCTTGGCTTTTTTTTTTTTCCCCTTCCCTTGATAGTTGATTTGGAGTTCATTTCTCATTGCTACTTCTGTATCACTTCTACCAGCATTATTTCACCTTGTATCTTCCCAGTTTTTCACAGTAGCCGCTAACTTACTATATTTCTAATTGAAGTAAATTTTTGAAATACTTGTCAATGTCCATAGACTTCCTATGTTTTCTTATTTCACTTGAGTAAAGCTGTAAGAAGAACTTATTCTACCTAACTAGGGTCTTCCGAGACTCTTTTAACATAATTTTTCTTTTTCTTTTTTTTTAAAGATTTTATTTATTTATTTGAGAGAGAGAATGACATAGAGATAGCATGAGAGGGGGGAGGATCAGAGGGAGAAGCAGACTCCCTGCTGAGCAGAGAGCCTGATGTGGGACTCGATCCCGGGACTCCAGGATCATGACCTGAGCCAAAGGCAGTCGCTTAACCAACTGAGCCACCCAGGCGCCCTTTTAACATAATTTTTCTAAGATCACTTTTCTGTGTCTCCTATGGCGGAAGTCATTCTCATCTGCCAGATGCTTAATAGTATAGAGATTGGAAGTGGCAGTCTTCACCGGTATCTTTCTCTATATAGAAAGTTTCATTCAGCATGATTTTTACAGGGCTCTTGAAAAGCTTGCTATGTTTCCCCAGTTCCCTGGGACAGGTTGGAAATACCAAATCTAGAAAAATTATTTGAACGCATTGGGGTTATTTTTCAGGGTTTGTGACTAACAAGATCTCTTTGTAGGAGAATTTAACGTTGGACGGTGCCTCATGTGGTTATTCCCTTGAGTTGTCTCTTTCTGCTATTTGCCACGTTGCATCCGAAAAGATGATTAGCAGTCAATTGATTAGGGAGTAACTTAAACATTTCTCAATATACTTAATATAAAGTAATAAATCGGGCTAATGAAATAACTAAAATCACAGTAATTTACACAGCACAATTTGATCCAGAGATGCCCATTTTATTTTAATCAGAACAAGTGGACTTAATCTCATTTTTCTATTGTTAGCATCCACAAAATATTTGGAGAGTACTTTATGTCAAAAAAAAAGAAAAAAAGAAAAAAAGAAAATCTAGCCCTCTGCGGTTTTGGGCGCACGGGTAAACCTTGATGACTTCATCTGTAGTAGGACTCAACCTGGGGAATCAGAGCAACCCCAGCAGGAAGGCGGGAGAGCTGGGCGTGGGTGGTCGGCGGGCCCAGCCTTGACCTCCTGGGTCCTCAGCTCCGCCCTTGCTGCGAGGAGAAGGCACCATCGCGCCGGGGCGGAGCCGCCCTCCCCGCAGGTTGGGCCTCCTGCTCCCGGCTTGGTCGCGCCGGCCAGCACCTCCAAGAGCAGCTGGATTCAGGCTGGAGAAGGTGAGCTCTGTACCTTTCAGCCCCCGGAATCGCCGTCTCCGCACACCATGGCCCGAGTCTCGACTCTGCTTTCTTCCGTCCCGACCTAGAAGTTTCGGGTTCTGTTGACCCTCAGAGACTGAACCAAGACCCAGGTCCCGGCCCCGGAGGGGCATTCCGTAGGGAGCCCCGAGGACCTGCTGATCCCGAGGCTCGTGTGTGCCGTGCCGGGGAGTCCGGTGCGCTCGGACTCGCCTTTGTGCCCTGGGACAACCCTGCGGTCCCCAGCAGCCGCTCCGCTCCGCGTCCCCGCCCAGAGACACCGAGGCACGCAGGTATCAGCCTACGCCGGCTAAGTCCCAGCACTGTTCCAGCCGGACGCCGCGGGGACACCTCCCCACAGCCCCTCTCCTGGCTCTCGGACCCCCCGTCCCGGCACACACACCTGCCTCGGGACCCGCCCCTCGGAGCCTCCTGCGCGGTCCTCTGCGTGCGCAGACATGAGGCCAATTAAGCCAGGCGCCCCGCTGCCCGCGCTCCTCGTGCTCGCTCTGGCTTTGTCCCTGCCCGGGGCCCAGGGGAGGCCCCGGGGTGGCAGGGGAGCACGTGCCACGGACCAAGAACCCAAGTCGTGGCTTTTCCTCCCCGCGGCCAGGGCCGGCCCGGCTCCCAACGCCTCCCGGAGCACTGGTAAGCAATCCCCTTCCCAGCCAGTCCTTTGCTCTGATGAGGGTTTTAGGAAGGCGGAATTAAGCAGAGCAGAGGACAGACCATCTCTGCAGATAACCGGTTCTCAGGAAAAGAGGTAAAGAGTTTATTAGATTTAACATTGTTGAGACTTAAGTAGCAAAAACCCCCATCTCGCAAAGGAACGGGCGTGATGTGTCCCTTCCCGGGTGAAGGTCTTTTCAGTAGGCTGGTGGAGCAGCCGAAACCTGTGGGGTTCAGCCCCAGCCGGCCCACGCATAGTGCACGGGTTCTGTACCTGTCAGCGCCTCATTCTGGGTCTTCCTGGGTTTTTGAGAATTCAGTGAGCACTGCCTGAACACACAGACGCAGCCTGAACAGGCTCAGGAATGCCCCTTTGTTTCCCCCTTCAAGCTGGCCTCAGGGAATGGTTGAGGAACCCGCGATTTTGGGCAGGTTGAGGTGGCTGTTGTTCAATCGGACCTTCCCTAGGCGGGGCTCCCAAATCAGCTCTGGGCACTCAGGTCCCTGGCTACTTAGATGCGGAAGGAGGGGACTAGGGAAAAACGGAGAAAAAAACCCCAGCCAATATAGAGGTCATGAGACGCCCCAAGGTAACGAAGTCCAGTATGATTGGGAAATGTGAAAATCCCAGGGCACAGTGAGGTCAGAGGGGGCAGACAAGAGTGCAGGGCACCCAGGGCAGGAAGGAAGGTAGTGAGCAAGGAACAGAGAAGCTGCTACCACGTGTCTCTGTTGAGAGCCCGTGCCTTACAGAGCGAGGTAGAGCCACGGCCAGGCGTGGAGCAGAAGTGACCCTGTTCGGGGCCATCAGCTTGCTGCGGGGACCAGCCCCGCTGGGCTGCCTGAGGAGGCCCAGCAGGCTCCGCCTTGCTCTCACCTCATAACTCTTTTGCCTCATACTTCACTTTTAAGAAAGCAAAGAGGGATTACTTAGTATCACTTTTCTTTCATAATGGTTGTGATATAAATACATAGTTATTTCCTCCACAAACTTTCACTGGAGTGCCTATTATATGCCAGTCATCATGCAGAGGGCTGAGGCCACCTACTGAAGCAGGCAGCCCGCGCTCTGTCAGTATGCACTCTGGGTGTGGACGGAGGGAAGGCTGGTGCACAGGTAAACCGGAGAGGAAGCAGAGGAAGGTGTGGGCCAGGGCCTCAGAAGCTGAGGTGGGCTGTTGAGCTTCCGGTGCCCGGGGTGAGCTTTCCAGGGTGACTGGCAAGCCCAGGGCTCTCAGGAGGGGAGGTGGGGCCCTGTGGGTGACTACAGCGGTGATGGTGCCACATCCTTCATATACGTGGACTTGAAATTATTGTGAGCCCAAATTCTTATCTCTGTCAAAAGTTCAGAAATAGCCAAAGTAAAACAAATGAATGACCAAAACAGTAATTAGTAAAATTTTATTGGGCAAGCACCAAAAAGACAGTTTGCACACCAGGCGCACTCAAACCGAAACATGGAATGAGGCTCAGGGTATATTGTAAAGCAGCCTATGTGGTGAGAAAGCAGTGACCACTTATTCTTCACAGTGATTGGTTATAGTATTAAATTAAATGTTTGGGAATTGGTCTGTAGTTACCTAATATCCACATTGGGAAACTTTAAGTTTTGCTTATGATTTTTAGAGGCATAAGCAAGAGACGACCCAGGTCAAGTCAGCCTTGCAAAATAAGCTAAATTAAGCTTTGTTTGTATGACAAAACTGGCTTGGTCAGCTCAGAATTTTCAAGGCTGGTCTCCATTTGGTTTTGATTTCAACATCTCAGAGAAAGAAATGTCACGTTGGAATGAAAAAGAGTAGGAGAAAGTCCCAAACTACAGAACCATTGTTAACACATTATTTAAGACCAGTTTCATTTAACAGATCTTTTTTCCCTAGTCACAGATTTGCAGTGGTGTTTTTTGGTTTTCTAAGAAAGTCCTAACTACTCTTGGACGCAGGACGTTCCATCCCCGTGTGACTTGTCCCATCTGCCTTCTGTGGTTCTCATCGGGCACCACAGCAGGTACCCCTGTGCCAGCCACACAGATTCAGGCTGTTCCTGTAAGGAATGCCAGCCGGTTCTTTGCCTCTGCTACTTTGGAGCCTCCAGGAATGTGCTTCTTTCATCTCTCCAAATTCTGTCTATCCTCCCAGGCCCTGTTACTTTGTGGTATCTGTGTAAGCAGTTATAACACTCCTCATACTGTAACTTGTAATAGTTTATATATATATAATATATATAAAATATATACATAGTTTATATCTGTATAATATAATATTATATTATCTGAATATAAGCCTCTTGCAGTTGGAACTGAGGATTACTCAGTTTTTAATGCCCTGTAGCCTATCAAAGTCACTGGACACAGTTGACATTTAAGAGGAATTTTTTTCTTTGGAACTGAAATTTTGAAAAGAAAAAATTTTAAATCAGCTTTAAAAGAATTGATCTTTTATTTGCCCTCAAAGCCTGATTAGATCTTATGACTTAATCTGTGTCATTTCTGAGTCATGAGCTCATTTCTTAGCATTTATGACCAAGTTTAGACAACACGACATCTGCTGCCCTTAATACCTTCTAGGGCAGTGGTTCTTAGAATGAGGCCATACATCTCGGAAGCAACTGGGAGGCAAGTTTTGAATGTAATTATTGTATTCACCCTGGATATCCTAAATCTCTGAGTATAGCCCGTGCCTGTGCATCAAAAAGCTCTTGGGAGATTCTTGTGTACATTGAGTTTTTGGAATCACCAGAGATTTTTTTTTTTTATTTGAGAGAGAGAGACTGAGAGAGAGAGAGCATGAAAGGGGGGAGGGTTGGAGGGAGAAGCAGACTCCCTGCCGAGCAGGGAGCCCGATGCGGGACTCGATCCAGGGACTCCAGGATCATGACCTGAGCCGAAGGCAGTCGCTTAACCAACTGAGCCACCCAGGCGCCCCACCACCAGAGATTTTTAATTGAGGAGGGTGGGGAGGAGAAAAGTAGTATATAAGAATCTTCTGGAAAGTTTCTTTGAGACAGAGACAGTTCCTGACTGACCTCCACAACCCTGACCACACTTCTCTTTCCATAGCTCTCTGCCCACTCCTTCATTCCCACATGTACCCACAGCACCATAGCTACATTTTCCCGCGTGTTTGAGTGATAATCTGTGAAAAAAAGGCTTCCTTGGTCTGCCAGCCTCAGGGACATGGCCATTAGGTCTCTTGTTAGAGAAGCACTATACAAGAACTCTGAAGACCTGTGGTATGAGGAGCTTTATGTAAACCAGTATTAGCCAAACTTTCTCTCCCTACCCCTTCTTTGTTTTTCTTTCTTCCTCTCTCTCTTACTTTCTCTCTTCCTCCCTTTCTTTTTTTCCCCTTCCTCCCTCTTTCTCTTTCTTTTAAAATCTAACATTTATTTGCATCTCACAGTACTGGTTTTGAAGGAGTCCACTCTGGGTAACATTGTTTTGGCCACTGCATGCGCCCAGCTTTACCTCAGCACCTGGGGGACACAAGGGGAAAGCCCAGGACAGAGTAAGTGACAACAGAAACAAGGAAAGGTGACTTGAGGGCAGAGCAGTGGGGAGTGGCCACTTATCAGACTGCTAGTCTTCCCCAAGACACAACAATATCGGAATTAGGTCAGTTAATAACCCTACAGTGGCTTGTAAGTGGTCAAGTGAAAGGAAGAGTCACAGGTCTCTCACTTTAAATTGAAAGTCAGAAATGATTAAGCTTAATGAGGAAGACACATCAGAAGCTGAGATAAGCCAAAAGCTAGGCCTCTTGAAGCAGTTATCCAAGATGTGAATGCAAAGGAAAGGGGCACTGGGAGCCACTGGGTGGCTCAGTCGGTTAAGCATCTGCCTTTGGCTCCTGTCATGATCCCAGGGTCCTGGGATCCAGCCCCACGTCAGGCGCTCTGCTCAGCAGGGAGCCTGTTTGTTCCTCTCCCTGTAGCTCTGCCTGCTTGTGCACTGTCTCTCTATCAAATAAATAAATAAATAAATAAATAAATAAATAAATAAATAAATAATAAATAAATAATGCAAAGGAAAAGTTCTTGAAGGAAATTAAAAGTGCCACTCCAGTGAACACACGAATGATAAGAAAGCAAAACAGCCTTATTGCTCATATGGATAAAGTTTTAATGATCTGGATAGAAAATCACACCAGGCACAACACTCCCAGGCCAATGCCTAATCCAGAGCAGAGCCCTAACTCTCTTCAATTCTGTGGAGGCTGAGAGAGGTGAAGAAGCTGCAGAAGAAAAGTCGGAAGCTAGCAGAGGTGGGTTCATGAGATCTAAGGAAAGAAGCCATCTGCATAACATCAAAGTGTGAGGTGAGGCAGCAAGTACTGATACAGAAGCTAAGCCAGTTCTCCAGAAGATCTAGCTCAGATCCCTGATGAAGGTGCCTATACTAAACAGATTTTTAGGGTAGATGAAATAGCCTTCAATTGGAAGAAGATGCCATCTAGGACTTCCGTAGCTAGAGGAAAGTCAATTCCTGGCATAAAGCTTCAAAGGACAGGTCGACTCTCTTGTTAGGGGCTAATGCAGCTGGTGACTTTAAATTGAAGCCAGTGCTCCTTTACCACTGTGAAAGTCCTGGGGCCCTTAAGAATTACACTGCGCTGTAGAAATGGAACAACAAAGCCCAGATGACAGCACAGCTGTTTGCAACATGTTTACAGAGTATTTTAAGCCCATTATTGAGATCTTCTTACTGCTCAGAAAACAGATTCCTTTCAAAATGTTACTGCTCATTGGCAGTGTACCTGAGCTCTGGTGAAGATGTACAGTGAGAGTCATGTCAGCATGCCTGCAGCCCATGGATCAAGGAATAATTTTGACTTTCAAGTCTTATTATTTAAGAAATACATTTCATAAAGCTACAGCTGCCAGACAGTAAATTTGAAACCTTCTGGAAAGGATTGGCCTTCCAGATGCCATTAAAAACAATCATGATTCATGGGAAGAGGATAAAATACCAACATGAATAA